ACTGGAAGGGTCAGGAAGGCACTGGAAGGGTCAGGAAGGCACTGGAAGGGTCAGGAAGGCACTGGAAGGGTCAGGAAGGCACTGGAAGGGTCAGGAAGGCACTGGAAGGGTCAGGAAGGCACTGGAAGGGTCAGGAAGGCACTGGAAGGGTCAGGAAGGCACTGGAAGGGTCAGGAAGGCACTGGAAGGGTCAGGAAGGCACTGGAAGGGTCAGGAAGGCACTGGAAGGGTCAGGAAGGCACTGGAAGGGTCAGGAAGGCACTGGAAGGGTCAGGAAGGCACTGGAAGGGTCAGGAAGGCGCTGGAACACACTACCAGGGCTACTGGAACACTGTAGTCACCTACCCTCCTCCTACAGGAGGGGCAAGTCCCGAAATCATATCAAGAAAACTTCGAAATAAGATTGGAAATCTCCCCTCCCCCCCCCCAGACACTTTCAGGTCATCTCTGTCCTCCGCCCCAACATCATTACCTTAAACATTAGGATTGAATTCCACCAATCATTCCCCCCCCCACTGGTGGAGATTGTCAAGGTCTTCCTGTAACATTCGCATTCCTCTGTTTACATTCCTCATTATCGAGGGAGAGGAAGGGAAGAGGGGGGGGAGGAGTGTGAAGGAAAGAGGGGGGGAGGGGTGTGAAGGGAAGAGGGGGGGGAGGGGGTTTGGAGGAAAGAGGGGGGGGGAGTGTTACATAATTTTATGCATTAGACCATTAACAATAATACTGATCTCATTCTAGCCTATTAGTTCGCTAATCACTGCCTAAGTTACAGTGCTGAGACTGATCAAAATGTGTGTAAAGCCCCCAGCAATCTTGTCCACAATCGAGGGAGAAAACCTCAGATAATTAATGTTCTTACACATTCGTTAGGCTAAAACAAAACATTTCATTTTTAACCCGGTGCTTCCCGGGTTAAGGGAGCCGGTCGGCCGAGCGGACAGCACACTGGACTTGTGATCCTGTGGTCCTGGGTTCAATCCCAGGCGCCTGCGAGAAACAATGGGCAGAGTTTCTTCACCCTATGCCCCTGTTACCTAGCAGTAAAATAGGTACCTTGGTGTTAGTCAGCTGTCACGGGCTGCTTCCTGGGGGTGGAGGCCTGGTCGAGGACCGGGCCGCGGGGACACTAAAAGCCCCGAAATCATCTCAAGATAACCTCAAGATAACCCTAATTCAGGCAGCCAATAGTGAGTTATCAGGTTGCTTCACACCTCTTCTGGCAAAAGCACTATATTTAGCTTAAATCCCAAGTTATGAGAACTGTTTATTGCCAAGTATGTGGCGAGATGTTTCTTCGAATTGGTTAAATCAAACTATATTTTATAATAGTAACTTTACTGGTTAATTTGACAGGAAACAGGTGGGAGTTTTAAACACCTCGGGGGACACGTGAGCTATGACTTCAATGCTTAAAATATTTGAAGTATATAAATTTAATGAAGTTTTGTTTAACCAAAGTGTGATAACAGGTTGGGTACAAAAAATATCAAAACCTTGCGTTATCTCTAAAGCAATCGAGATAACATTATTAAAGACTTGTGGATGTGCTTCTCGAAAATATACCAATATACATACAATCATCCAAGAGGCGGATTATGGGACCAGCGCATAACTTAGTCATGAGGCTTCAGGGAAGGTTTAAAAAAAACTATCCGGGTTGCATCTACCACTGTCTTCTATCAAGTGCATAATGGTTGACGCTGCAGCTGTCTGATGTAACTACAGAGTTCTTTGACCTTCACCTAATACTTAGAGCGATAAGAAGTGCCGGACCAACCGGGCTGAGGTGGGTATGTGGGCCTGCGGGCCGCTCCAAGCAACAGCCTGGTGGACCAAATTATCAAGCCAAGCCTGGCCTTAGGCCAGGCTCGGGGAGTAGAACTACTCCCATAACCCTCTCTAGGTATAACAGTCAGCAGCAGTCTGCTGTAGCCTACGGGAGACATCTCCCGTCACGCAGGGTGCAGTCGCACCTCCACAGATGGCTCAAAAGGGCCACCACTTACGGGCTATTCATGCCCGTGCCACCTTTTGGGTGGCTTAATCTTCATCAATCAATCAATCTGCTGTAGCCTGGCAGCTACAGCAGACACCGGCCAGGAGAACGTCGCCCGCCTGGCAACCTGTCCTCTTAAAAATAACGTCGCTTTTGGCCGTTTTCCCGTATGGCCGAAAGTGGACGTAATTTGAAAATGAAACAAAAATGAAAATAATTTTGGGAATTTTGTTTTCAACAACAGTAAGTTAAGGGTCCTCTGATAGATTAGGAGGGCAGGAAATTCTCAGTTTCAAAACGTTATGAAAAACATTAATTGAAAGTTTCCTCTCCTAACGTGTCCGAGTAGGCCGGACGACTCAAACAGAAAACGGGACAGTACATTACTTTTGAGTCTATTTCATTTCAAATTACGTCCACTTTTGACCATAGCTCGCATACGGGCGAAAAGTGACGTTATTTTTAAGAGGACGGGTTGAGTAGATATGCCGGGTACTATACCCAGCGATGAAAGTCAAACAAGTAAATAAATCCATTTGCATCTACAAAATTCCCATAGGCATATTATACATTATATATATTTGCACACTATTTGCACTATCTTGGTTATCTTGAGATGATTTCGGGGCTTTAGTGTCCCCGCGGCCCGGTCCTCGACCAGGCCTCCACCCCCAGGAAGCAGCCCGTGACAGCTGATTAACACCCAGGTACCTATTTTACTGCTAGGTAACAGGGGGCATAGGGTGAAAGAAACTCTGCCCATTGTTTCTCGCCGGCGCCCGGGATCGAACCCGGAACCACAGGATCACAAGTCCAGTGTGCTGTCCGCTCGGCCGACCGGCTCCACTATATGCATTAACTTGCAAAAATTTTCCTTACTCTGTTCATGCAGTTTTAAGATTGATTGATGAAGATTAAGCCACCCAAGAGGTGGCACGGGCATGAATAGCCCGTAAGTGGTGGCCCTTTCGAGCCATTACCAGTATCAAAAGATGATACTGGAGATCTGTGGAGGCGCAACTGCACCCTGCGTGACGGGAGATGTCTCCCGGACCAAATGGTGACCAAATGGTGGCAGTTTTAAAGTTCCAGCAACTGTATAGATGAAAGTTAACTACTTACTTTCCACGGTAAGAATGGTGCAGCGAGGCTTTGTCAAGATTCAATTATTTATAAAACGAATATTAACCTTGACCTATCCTTATCTAGTTACTTTTGTTACTAAGAACTTTAACTATTAAAATTAACTGTATACAGTCTTACAAGACAATAAATAAATAAATTCATTGGTTTGGTGTTGTGCGTACATCGATCGATCAGTCAAGTTAAATCACCATCGGTTTGGTCAGAAAGTGGATGAGTGATCACATGAACAGCCTCGTAATAGCTTGGGGAACCTCTACAATAATTTTCTATTTGGTAATCTACCCTTAACGGTCTTCTTTTAATGCCCAAAACCCTTAACTTTATAAACGTATTTTTCCTTTTCAGAAAGGAAATTGTAGAAACCAAAGGCATTTCAGAAATCAATCTTGTTTAAATCAACCTGTATTACCCGGGCGTCTTCCAAGGAGGCAATACACAAATGGAAAATACACAATTTTTTTTTTTTTTTTTTTTGAGATATATACAAGAGTTGTTACATTCTTGTACAGCCACTAGTACGCGTAGCGTTTCGGGCAAGTCCTTAATCCTATGGTCCCTGGAATACGTTCCCCTGCCGCGAAGAATCGTTTTTTCATCCAAGTACACATTTTACTGTTGCGTTAAACAGAGGCTACAGTTAAGGAATTGCGCCCAGTAAATCCTCCCCGGCCAGGATACGAACCCATGACATAGCGCTCGCGGAACGCCAGGCGAGTGTCTTACCACTACACCACGGAGACTGCTGATAATATGATAATATTAATACACAAATGCATATATTTCCTATTCCGAGGGCGTTCCTACTTAACCGCAAACAATTTCTCTGTTGTAATCTGGAAAACTCCATTCACGTGGCAAGTGCTTAACAGGCGAATGTTTACAAACAAAGTAACGCAAAAGCAAACCATTTTGCGGAGATGAACACTTCATTACAAATACTTCACCTGGGGGCCTCGTAGCCTGGTGGATAGCGCGCAGGACTCGTAATTCTGTGGCGCGGGTTCGATTCCCGCACGAGGCAGAAACAAATGGGCAAAGTTTCTTTCACCCTAAGTGCCCCTGTTACCTAGCAGTAAATAGGTACCTGGGAGTTAGTCAGCTGTCACGGGCTGCTTCCTGGGGTGTGTGTGTGGTGTGGGGGAAAAAAAAAAAAAAAAAAAAAAAAAAAGTAGTTAGTAAACAGTTGATTGACAGTTGAGAGGCGGGCCGAAAGAGCAAAGCTCAACCCCCGCAAAAACACAACTAGTAAACACTTATTCAGGTAAACTACATACATACAAGATGAAATACAAAAGTTGGAGTTATAGATAGAGCTAGTACATACAATATCTTGAGGTTATCTTGAGATGATTATCTTGGCATACAATTATCTTGTGATGATTATCTTGGCATACAATTATCTTGAGATGATTATCTTTAAGCATACAATGCCTAAAGTTTTTAAATTATTCTTAAATTAAATTAACATCGCTTAAACATCGCAGCTTGACGAGGGCCACATTTAGTACACTATACAGAGTTCCTAAAATATTTTCCTTACTCGAGAAGTGGCATAAATCAAGCCTGGTTCACCAACTGCGACAATAAGCAGAGGGGTATTACCTAGCAGTAAAATAGGTACCTGGGAGTTAGTCAGCTGTCACGGGCTGCTTCCTGGGGGGTGGAGGCCTGGTCGAGGACCGGGCCGCGGGGACACTAAAGCCCCGAAATCATCTCAAGATAAGATAGCATCACAATTAAAATCCGCGTCGAGTGACGCGACCTGTGGCCAGGATATCGAGATATAACACATCTGTTGCTATCACTATAGCGGCTATATCTACTACCTGTTTACACAACCAGCACACAAGCTTACCTTGAGGTGAAGGGTGTAGACGAGCACGCCATAAACGCGACGAGGCAGTAGAGGTGAGGAAGACAGTACCTTATAGTAGGAACATCCACCTAGAGAGCTCAGTGGCTGTTGCATAGTCTCCCTTGCATAGATTCACCGTTAAAAGGCCTCACTCACCAAGATAACAATTTTCCTTAAACACTTTAATATCTCTACACTTAACAAGCACTTGGAAACTTGTGTAACTGTACAATGTACACCAGATTCCAACTAACGCGACTATCACACCTATTGAAGAGGAGATAACAGAGATAAGCCTAGGTGGATGATTTGACAACACTTCGAGCCTAACTCGCAATTAGTTATCATATTCCATAAAGCTGAATTACAAGGATTAACCAGGGGGGGTGTATGATGGGGTGAGGGGGGTGTATGATGGGGTGTATGATGGGGTGAGGGGGGTGTATGATGGGGTGAGTGGGGTGTATGATGGGGTGAGGGGGGTGTATGATGGGGTGAGGGGGGTGTATGATGGGGTGAGGGGGGTGTATGATGGGGTGAGGGGGGTGTATGATGGGGTGAGGGGGGTGTATGATGGGGTGAGGGGGGTGTATGATGGGGTGAGGGGGGTGTATGATGGGGTGAGGGGGGTGTATGATGGGGTGAGGGGGGTGTATGATGGGGTGAGGGGGGTGTATGATGGGGTGAGGGGGGTGTATGATGGGGTGAGGGGGGTGTATGATGGGGTGAGGGGGGTGTATGATGGGGTGAGGGGGGTGTATGATGGGGTGAGGGGGGTGTATGATGGGGTGAGGGGGGTATGATGGGGTGAGGGGGGTGTATGATGGGGTGAGGGGGGTGTATGATGGGGTGAGGGGGGTGTATGATGGGGTGAGGGGGGTGTATGATGGGGTGAGGGGGGTGTATGATGGGGTGAGGGGGGGTATGATGGGGTGAGGGGGGTGTATGATGGGGTGAGGAGGGTGTATGATGGGGTGAGGGGGGTGTATGATGGGGTGAGGGGGGTGTATGATGGGGTGAGGGGGGTGTATGATGGGGTGAGGGCGTGTATGATGGGGTGGGGGTGTATGATGGGGGTGAGGTGCATGATATAGTGTGTTGATGGGGTGATGTGGGGCAGTGGAAGGGGGGTGATGTGGGGCAGTGGAAGGGGGGGGGTGTTGATGGGGTGTGAATGATGGGGTGATGTGGGGCAGTGGAATGGGGGGGGTGTTGATGGGGTGTGAATGATGGGGTGATGTGGGGCAGTGGAAGGGGGGGGGGGTAATGTGGGGCAGTGGAAGGGGGGGGGGAGTTGATGGGGTGTGAATGATGGGGTGATGTGGGGCAGTGGAAGGGGGGGGGGTTACTGGTGTGAATGATGGGGTGATGAGGGGCAGTGAAGGGGATGGTATGGCTAGTGGTACTGTGGGTGGAAGCGTGATGATTGTGGTATGATACTATGACGTAACTTAGACGCAGTGCTGGTGGAGCATTATGGAAAACTACCCAAATATAAGTTACAATATCCAAAACATTCCGGGATTAATAAATATAAATACAAAATGACCCGTCAACAAAGTATTATTTTCAGCACCTCGGGGACATTTTTACTAACGTAGACCATTAATATCAAGAACAAAAAAAAAATTAACTATCTGGGCAATCATTTTCTCTGAAACAATCATTTCTGTATTCTACTGGGTATTTTTCCCTTGTACACATACGCTTTGTTTTGTAACGGCGAGTATTATACGCATAAATAAAGTCACGTTACAGTTACAAGCGTTAAGTAAAGAGCGGATAATGTTACACAGCACAAAGCACAGCCGTACCCCGGGCCAGCCGCACGTCTACCCACTCCCGAGCCACAAGAACAACTGAAGAGTTTCTCTTGGGACTCACTCACTCACCACACGCAAAGTTGCCACAAACCCTCAGCGGAAATCTCTAATTAATCCTATTCTCCTCTTATCTTAACCCCAAACAGCTTACGCTTTCCTTATCGCTGAGACTTTATAAAAATGACGATAATGCGAGTGAAATCTCCGTGTTGGCGCAGCTACCGTGACATTTATGAAGGTTAATGCACGACAAACGTTTCTCTATGACGTTAGGTAACCCAGAAAGTGTAATTGTGTCCGAAACCTGCGCGCTTCTCGCTTATATATAAAAATCTTATCTATCATTCCCAGATCATTAATGTTCGCTTGCAACGTACTTGATACCAAGTGACAAATTGGCGTATATTAATCGCTCTTTATTTTTATGCCTTTACTTGTCAATATTATATCTAAATTTTCATACACAAGCAACGCTCAGTTGTTAAGTGATCAGCTGTTCAGCCATCAGCTGAGTGTGACGTCACAAGCCTATATTAATCAATACATTGTATGTACTTTTTTGTACAAACGCACCGAAAATATTACAATACATTTGTTTATGCTTATAAATATAACATTATTATGATATAAATACAAAAATAAAGCACTAATATACAAATACAAACAATCAAACATTAATTAAATAATGATAAAGGAATTATAGCTACCTTAAATTATAATCACTGATTAGTTTAATAACTAAAAACCAAAATAAACCCGACAACAAAAATATGAACAGTGATAACAGCATTAATAATATTCATATATAATAAGTGACAGATCTGACGAGCGGACAGCACGCGGGACTTGTGATCCTGTGGTCCTGTGTTCGATCCCGGGCGCCGGCGAGAAACAATGGGCAAAGTTTCTTTCACCCTATGCCCCTGTTACCTAGCAGTAAAATAGGTACCTGGGTGTTAGTCAGCTGTCACGGGCTGCTTCCTGGGGGTGGAGGCCTGGTCGAGGACCGGGCCGCGGGGACACTAAAGCCTCGAAATCATCTCAAGATAATCCTATCTCACCATACAGACATTATATATCCCCCTCCTATCAGAAAATTACACACGAACAATATAATATATAATTTAGCAATTAATACAGTAAAAAATTACGGGTTATTCATGCCCGTGCCACCTCTTGGGTGGCTTAATCTTTACCAATCACCAATCACAGTAGACATTTTACATAAATTTGTCAAATACTAACCATGTATAAAAATGTCGTAATTAAATAAATATCCACAGCAATTTGGCTTTGTTTATAATGTGTTCATAAGGGTTGCACAATGTCCAATGCTTTGGCTACACTCTAATAAGGTTGTCGAACTTGCAGGGGTTTGTGAGGTATTTATGTGTTTAGTCTACAGTGTAGCTCCTGGGCCGGGCACAGGAAGATTCTTCAGTCACAAGCCTCCGAAGCCTGTGTTATATTAAAATTGTGACCAAAAGCTGTCGAAGAAATATAAGAAAACTCATTTTGGCTAAGGGTGGTAGAGGGTTGGAACAAGTTAGGTGTGGTGGAGGCCAAGACCGTCAGTGGTTTCAAAGCGTTATATGACAAAGAGTGCTGGGAAGACGGGACACCACGAGCGTAGCTCTCATCCTGTAACTACACTTAGGTAATTACACTTAGGTAATTAATTACACTTAGGTAATTATACCTCGTGTACACTTTATATAAAACACGGCATTGTATTACTTATTTTCGTTAGGTTAGGGTAGGATAAGTTAAAATAGAAAAGGACAGGCTGGGTTAGGATGAGATAGGTTAGGATAGGTTAGGTTTGTTAAAAATGAGTAGCGGTGACGTAGGCAGGTCTAATGTTTCTTTAGGTCTTTGATCCTATATCGCAAAAAGTTGAAAGCGCTTTTGCTTTCAACTTTGAAAGCAATTTGAAAGCGCTTTCAAAGTTGAAAGCTGTCCGTTCTTTGCTCAGAAAATGTACATTACTTTGATTAATGGTCGTTATAAACCATTTACTATTAAACTATTATTTCATTATATTTACCAAAAAACTCAGAAATAAAATTCTATTAGGAAACTTACAGATATATTGTATATGTTTTCCTGGTATATTTCTACAACATTACTTCAAATTGTAAATATAGATTTGAGTTATTTAATAAAATGTGAATTTACAAATATTGGGATGAAGGGACATAGATGGACATTCGCTGAAGAGCAGAAAACTCTTTAAACCACACTAAGCTTCGGGTTGTACAACACTTTACAACTCATAACCCTGGAAACACAAATTGTAACTCTCTCTTTTCCGCTTGTTACAACTTGTAATAAAGTTGTTACAACTTGGCTGAACGTGTTTATGACGTATTAGAACGTTGTTACAACTTGCTATATTGGTTGTTATAACTGGTTAGGAGGTGTTAAAACGTGTTCGAACGTTGTACCAACGTCGTTGTTTCGGTGTGTGTTTGGCGGGAACTTGAGTCAATTGACTGATTGATGAAGATTATGCCACTCAACAGGTGGCACGGGCATGAATAACCCGTAATTAAGTCAAATCATGGTGTACCATCAATAAAGGAACCTTAATGGGTTCTGTACCAAACTGGTCCAACGCCTCAGGTCATATTCTAGGAACCCTGGTTCAATATTCGGTAATAACAGAAATGACTGTGCATGTTTCCTTTCACCTAATGCCGCTGTTCACTTAGCAGAAAATAGGTACCCGGAAGTCAGGCAGCTGGGGGAGCCGGTCGGCCGAGCGGACAGCACGCTGGACTTGTGATCCTGTGGTCCTGGGTTCGATCCCGGGCGCCGGTGAGAAACAATGGGCAGAGCTTCTTTCACCCTATGCCCCTGTTACCTAGCAGTAAAATAGGTACCTGGGTGTTAGTCAGCTGTCACGGGCTGCTTCCTGGGGGTGGAGGCCTGGTCGAGGACCGGGCCGCGGGGACACTAAAGCCCCGAAATCATCTCAAGATAACCTCAAGATAGCTGTTAAAGTTTGCATCCTGGTAAGGGTCAGTACCTGACCTCGGGGGAACCTAAACGAATCTAAATACAGGCTTCCTGTCCCGAATACGGGAATTACTATTAATGAAGCCGATTCACTATCGTACATAAAGTCTCTCAAATACACGAGGGTGTTTTACGAGGCTCACAGTATACATTCTTGTATGGGACATGTTATGATAAGACGTTGGTGATCTTAACACACTGACTTCAAGACACCTTGGAAATATCTTGGCAATGAATGGCTAATAATACACATGTGTATTATTAGTGTTACGCTAGGCTGTGTCATTATTGTGAGGCTAGGCTGTCATCATTATTGTGACGCTAGGCTGTCATCATTATTGTGACGCTAGGCTGTGTCATTATTAGTGTGAGGCTGGGCTGTCATCATTATTGTGACGCTAGGCTGTCATCATTATTGTGACGCTAGGCTGTCATCATTATTGTGACGCTAGGCTGTCATCATTATTGTGAGGCTAGGCTGTCATTATTAGTGTGAGGCTAGGCAGTCATCATTATTGTGAGGCTAGGCTGTCATCATTAGTGTGAGGCTAGGCTGTCATCATTAGTGTGAGGCTAGGCTGTCATCATTATTGTGACGCTAGGCAGTCATCATTATTGTGAGGCTAGGCTGTCATTATTAGTGTGAGGCTAGGCTGTCATCATTATTGTGACGCTAGGCTGTCATCATTATTGTGAGGCTAGGCTGTCATCATTAGTGTGAGGCTAGGCTGTCATCATTATTGTGACGCTAGGCAGTCATCATTATTGTGAGGCTAGGCTGTCATCATTAGTGTGAGGCTAGGCTGTCATCATTATTGTGAGGCTAGGCTGTCATCATTAGTGTGAGGCTAGGCTGTCATCATTATTGTGAGGCTAGGCTGTCATCATTAGTGTGACGCTAGGCTGTGTCATCATTAGTGTGACGCTAGGCTGTGTCATTAGTGTGACGCTAGGCTGTGTCATCATTAGTGTGACGCTAGGCTGTCATCATTATTGTGAGGCTAGGCTGTCATCATTAGTGTGACGCTAGGCTGTGTTAGGCAAGCATATATACATGGTCACCTCACCCCATTACGTTATCCTACCAATCCTTAGGCTGGTATCCCTTTTCACTCTGTTTAGTTAACCTGAGTTAACCGAGTTTATTTACCCCTCAACCCATGAATATGCAACACAGCTGAGGTAACTTGTGCCACAAGCTGACCAGCCCAAACACAATCAACACGGAAACAATGCAGGCAGGGGCCGGAGCCAGGTGTTTTAATAGCCCTGATGTGGGCTTTATCTGCACACACATTATATATATAACTGCGACCCAAGCTTGGCCAGCAGCAGCAGCAGCAGCAGCAGCAGCAGCAGCAGCAGCAGCAGCAGCAGCAGATCTCTTGCTGCTGCTGCTTAGGCTACGTGTCCTGCTGCCAATGTTATTCTTGTTCTAGTTAATGATTGTAATGCTCTCTTTGTTTTTTTTTCTCTATTGGGGAAATATTTCCCGTATGTTGGGATTGAACTTGCGATTCTCCAGTGGACATGTTTTCTTAGAATTACTATATTCTTATGATCTATTGTACTTTCTGTTTGTTGTTTACATAACTTAAGAACGCATCTATAGGGGCTGGGGGGTTGTGTGTGTGTGTGTGTGTGTGTGTGTGTGTGTGTGTGTGTGTGTGTGCGTGCCCTCTACTATCGCCACCTCCTAGGCACGTGACCTCTGGAAGGAGGGCAGTGGTGAGGTAGAGTCAAGAAACAGTTAACAATTGAACAACTCCACAAGGGCCGTGACGAGGATTCGAACCTACGTCCGAGAGCATCTCAGACGCTGCCTTAATCGACTGAGCTACGACATGGTAAAAAGAATTGCAACCAGAAGTTCTACTGAACTTACTTGGATCCTGCAGCCTCTCAGAGACACAAACCAGGATTTTACACAATTCCTCCATGCACTCTGCACAGTGACGCAGGTTCGAACCCTCGTCACGGCCAAGATAAGAAGATAACGACCCTTGTGGATTTGTTCATTT